TTGCAAAAACGTGGATGTTCGCAGTGTACATAACAATTGAGCAATAGATAGTTTTGTTCGCCGTTTAAAGCTGCATCGAATGGTATATAAGACTTTCCTTCAAACTTGTTGTATTCTGAGAAAATTATGAAAAAGGCCTCGGAATGGGCTCGCGGAGCTATTGTTCAAAGCTGATCGATATTCTGACAGATATGAGGTCCGAAGGGGAACCAAGGGTGTAGAACCCCATAAAACTGTACGCTCTTTCATTCTAGATACCTTTCGAGATGATCTGAAATGGGGCCGATCCTCGTTCTTATTGCACCCCGTCCTTTAAATGTATATAAGAAATGTATTCAAATCCGTTATGCGCATTGGTCACTATCATTCATACGAAAAGGAAAAGAGAGATAAATGTTGAAGAAAATATCTGTGCAATAAAACGAAGAGATGAACTCGTAGATCTTTTATATATTTTTCTTTTATTATACTAAAACACGAACAAAATAAGGTGAAATGCAGACGTCCTTGATGGATCATATTTAACTAAAACAAATCACTATAAGTTGTTAGTAGTCGATTCCTTGATACATAAGCCCGGATATCGATCTTTTCCGTACTCAGATATGTACTCGTGAATGAAACTCTGCTTGATTTCATTGGAAACTTCTGAAATTTATTATTTATATCTAGTAAAATCTCAAATAAATAGCTTCTTCGCCTATTCAAATTTTGATCCGAAACGAATCCTTGGTGGGAGTACCGGCCCTTATGTAAAGGAGAGCGTCTCCAGTGTTACCAGATCTCGCTTCGGATACAAAATAGAGAACCGGGTAAAGCTAATATATAGATTCTACTTTCATTTACCACTATTTTAATTATTTATCAGAACATTCTTAAATGGGCGTTCAATCGATGTGTAATAAACTCAGTTTAAATAAAGTTTTAGAACATAGATCAGAAGTTATTTATGAAACGAAAAGAATAGAGAATAAGGGAAATTCAATATAAGATTCAATGATATTTGACCGGATAGTCGAAGAAAGACAAACATTAGATATGTGAATCGAAAGAAAACACATTTAGGAAATTTGGATGTCAAACAATATCATTCTCTGACGGAAATCAAAGGTAAATGGACTCACCAAGTTGTGAATGTTTTATGCCACCACAAACAAGAAATCAAATGCAACAACTAAATCAACAAGCAGATCAAGTTACATTGACGAAGTACAACGTTTGACGCATATCGATCCTGTCTGGACAAATAATCAGTTACCACTTCAATCTCATATTGTATATCAACCTCCTCGCGGTAATGTCGTTCGCGGTGAGCTCGCCAGACAGGTGGAGCCAGTCATTAAAGCTATGAAATTTTGGGTGTTAGCTATGCAGTCTAGTCTGTCGCTGTTTAATTGCAGCGAAAAAGGTACCGAAGTTAAAGAGCAAATAAGGAAAGTTCGGTCTTTGGATTTAAATAAAATTCAATCAAAAACAGGTTTAAAACTCGACCAGGGCTCCTCTTATGACGAACTCACGTTAAATCCAAATTGTAAATCCAAGTTGTAAATAATGTTCAAAGAAATAAAAGTTTCAGAGAAATTATGAGCCATGACGCTATATATATAAGAAAGGATAACTTTTGATAGATAGAATGAAAATGTCAAACCATCACGGACAACTAGTTGCACGTCTCACTATAATTCTATTGACTGTAAGTCTATAGTCATAAAAAATAAATAACGTGAATCGCATCGATTCACTAAGTCCATTGCCTGTAAGTCGAATGAATGCACTGTCGGTATTATTATTCATTCTGTTGTAACTCGATCTTGTTATTACAGAATTGATGCATATCGATGAGAACGTCCATATTTTGCACCTTAGTTTAATCATGTGGCAGTGTGACGGACGTACATACATATAGTCACTAATGAATGTGACGGACATAGATTCACATACGTTGATGCGTTCGAGTTTTCGGTGGAATCACACCTGTCCTGGCTGCAAGCGCGGACCGAAGGGACGCGTGAGCATTGTCTGGAATTCAGAAATATTTTTAGACCTCTGGGGTTTTTGGGGGCTCTCAAGGAAACCTTTATAGATTGGAGCTACTTCACGAAGCTAACACATCATATCAGAGAATTATTCATAACGCATGGTACATAGTCCCTAGCGAACACCGACCGAAGGGAGGTGTAAGCATTGTTTCTATGAACCAGGCCAAACTCTGCTCCCACTTAGATTTCGTTATGAAGGGCAAGAAGACGGATAGAGTTGGTAACATTACGTCCAGTTGGGTTTTGTAACGGAGTACTTTCATAGAACATTGCGATCACAGATGAGTGTTCCCTATGCGGATGAACTAGCAAAATATATTGATTCAGAGGCCTCATCGGTTACAATCACACCCAATCTAGATTTATTTTCACCCAATTCCTCACAACTGCATTTGACAGATGAGGAGGATGAAAATATACTGGTCCAACCGAAATGTAATCAAATTGTAATATTGGTCCCGGTTAATAATACTGATTCACCAGTTACAGTTTCTTCACAGTCTATAACCTTAGTCGGTGATAAAATACCGATCAGTGCTTCCTCTGCAGTATTAAACACTAATAATATAACTTTGACTTTTCCTATATGGATTACTAGCGATAGGTCTAATAGCGCAACGGCAACTACTACAGTCCATACAGCATCTGTTAGTGCATTGGCTCCTCTTTGCACAGTTTTGACAACGAATACGGGGTGTGTACAAAAAAGTTCTATAAGCAGTCAAACAGAAACGATAGTAGAGGAGGAAGAAAATGTAAATAATCAGAGAAGAAATTCATCTCTACAATCTAGAATAATATCGACAACAAATAATACTCTAATGTGGGATGGAGTAGCATGTCAGACTGATATGAGCCTAGATATGTCTAATGAAGCTGTGTGAAAAATCCCACGGAAGAAATCGTGGAAGATTTTCGAGTATATCGCGAATGGTGGTTAACAACAGATTGTGGAGTAAAAATTCATAATATTAAGTTAAACAAAACTGATCATTGTACTGGAGAACACGGAAATAATACTAGTTGCAAAATCTGTCTAGCTCTATCAAGAAACATTTCGTTACAAACGGAATGGACGTCGGTGACGACGGAAGAAGATACTTAGACGTATATAGACAGGAGTATGAGCGGTTTTATCGATTTCGGAACCATTTGGCGATTAATCGCTATTATGCGAAAAGTGACATAATACCACGCACATTTAATTTTGAAATACCTGTGCAAATATTTGGAGCAAAGGATCCCTCACTCCGAAAAAGATGGGTACAAATAGCATCCGATATGAGAAAATACTAAAAATGAAAAAAGAACAGCAGATGCTGAATATTGAAAGGGGGACGAGTGACGTACATAAGAAATGTAACATGCAATGAACGTAACAGTAGTTTTCTGTTATTCCAAACCCCGAAAAATCCTTCCGAGTTTTCTAAAAATAGACAGAAAACTAAGAGCTAATTCAAAAATCGGCGCTTATCAGTCCATGTAGTTTCTTTTCCTCTTTTAAACAAAAGTAAAATGAACTTTCTGCGACCAAAACTGCTACTAAAAATCTTGGGAAATACTTCAGATGTAACTCTTATATAGTGAAAATGCCTGAAACTTTTTGATGCAAGGTCAAACAGAGTTGTGCGCGATCCTATTTTGATCAGAAACGTTTGCTCTACAAGTCTGTGTGTTCAGAAAATTTTAATTGCATAAGTATTAAGGAAAAAGCTATTATTTGAAGATCCAGTTTTCTTCATCGTTTAAAAATTGTAGGCTCTTTTCTTTAAAATTAGCAATTTTTCGACTGTCAGGTTTTTTTAGTTTTTTGCATCTTTTGACCTCAAAAAATAACTTTTTCTGAACAAATAATACACCGTTAGATTCGGCACGTCGAGATGCATCCAACCATGTATAAAAATGAAAACAGCCAGTTTTTGTTCGAATATTGTGAAAATCCGGATTTATAGATGAAAACTGACGATAAATCCAATGGAAATATTTTCAGGATCATAGAGGTCCCTCAGACGATTTCTACAAAATCAGCTCTACAGAAAACCTTTCAAAAACCCAGAATTTCGAAAATGATATTGATCAATAGAGAATTAGATTTTGAACAAAATTAGACTCTCCGATGCTTTTCAGTTGTTTCAGACCCAAGTTGTAAAACTTCTTTCAAAAAATGCGAGACTTCGATCGTTTTAGGTGCTGAACTCCTAAAATTGCTGAAGAAGTGGGAGCAGTTTTTGTCTGTTAACAGCCAGTCAGCAATCTGGCTGTTAACAGACAAAAATTATCGCATATCAACAGATAGATTATCACGAGCCCAGGCAAATATCGCCTATGGGAAAAATCTAGATACATTTCGTCTATAATCGGGCGATACGCGACTAGTTGCCATCTAGATTACTAGTTGGAAAAGGGACTTTTAACTAGATGCGTCTGCATGTGCAACTAGCAATAGTTAAATCGA